GTCGATTACCGTGTATCCAGGGGAATACTGTAATGCTGTTTGCAATAGACTTGACAGTGCCATGTCAATTCCCGACGTATCCAGGGGAAAGCTGTAATCCTGTTTGTAGTGAGAGTGGGAATAGACTGGAAAGTGCCTTGTCGATTAGAGTGTATCCAGGAAATACTGTAATGCGTTTGCAATGACTTGACAATGTCGTTTCCCATGTATCCAGGGGAAAGCTGTAATGCTGTTTGCAATAAGAATGGAAATAGACTTGACAGTGCCATGTCAATTCCTGTGTATCCAGGGGAAAGCTGTAATCCTGTTTGCGATGAAGAGTGGGAATAGACTGGAGAGTGTAATGTCGATTACACATGTTGTCTTGCCTGTTTGCAGTGAGAGTGGGAATAGACTGGAAAGTGCCTTGTCGATTACCGTGTATCCAGGGGAAGCTGTAATCCTGTTTGCAGTGAGAGTGGGAATAGACTGGAAAGTGCCTTGTCGATTACCGTGTATCCAGGGGAAAGCTGTAATCCTGTTTACGATGAAGAGTGGGAATAGACTGGAGAGTGTAATGTCGATTACACCATGTTGTCTTGTGTGTGCTGGTTGATGGTGCGATGGCATGAGTAGTGAACGTGTCGTAGTGTGTAGTGAATAATTGCGTATTTGGATTGTAGACTACGAGGTGACTGCCAATTCCAAGATCTGCATCGTGACAGCAGGCGCGCGTCAACGTGAAGGAGAGACACGACTTGACCTGGTCCAGAAGAATGTCAAGATTTTCCAGCGTGAGTGCTAAGAGGATATAGCTGCGTTGTGTCAGGTCATGCTGGCACGTAAATGTTAGAGCTTTGGTAAAGGTAACACAGTATATTTTCGTCCTGTGAATTCTGTGAACTCTGTATGCAAAAAAATTCACGTTAATTTTTCAGGGGCATAGTCCATGCATAGTGAATATAATGATATATTGCTTATTACAACTGTAGAGATTGCACTCCTTGGGCCATGATAAAAATATTGTTTGTTTGCCCTCACCCGACCGACCCGCCAAATAGGGGCCGACTCAAAAAATGTTATTGATCTTTCCCATTCTGTTTTTTTTTACAAATTGTATCACTGTACATTATATAAATCTGTAGGCAATACATTATATGTACCAAGCAAAACAAACATTCAACATAAAAGGTATATCCACACAAGCATACCCGAGCATGTAAAAACCATGCTGAATTTGTAAAAAGACCTCCCTTTAAGAAAAGAAAAAAAGCCTACCCACCTACCCAAACTTTTCAGCGTGGGTCGGGTGAGGGCAAACTAGGATTTTTTTAGTTGTGGCCTTATTGAGTATTGTCATGTAAGATAGTATAGGGACTTTCTAATTCCTTTTAATTCGATTAGGTTCAATCTAGTTCTTACCATGAACCTTTGTTTTGTGTATTATATTAACATTTTTATTCAATGTGTAAAGGTTCAATTTCTTACTATGTCTGTATGTGCCAGTCATGAGGAAGTCGAACTAGGTTAACGTGACTATTAATAGGGTTACGCGGAATTTAAATTTATTGATGCAATGAAGATGTGCAGTGTAAAACAGGGATTAATTGATATATTTTCTTGAATGAAATAAGTATAAATTTAATTATGAAATTAATTATATGTATATATATATATAAAACTGAAAGCGCTTCGTCGTCTTGCAGATATCATTCCTCAGCTCGTGAAGCACAGCCCCAACACGATCCTGCTCATCGTCTCCAACCCCGTCGACGTGCTCACCTACGTCGCCTGGAAGATCAGCGGCCTTCCCAGGAACCGCGTCATCGGCAGCGGAACCAACCTGGACTCATCCCGATTCCGCTTCCTGATGGGGGAGAGGCTGGGCATAGCTCCGTCCAGCTGTCATGGATGGGTGATCGGAGAACATGGCGACTCGAGTGGTTAGCTTTGCTTTGACTTGGCACTGCTCCAGATCGAACGTAGACTTTTTTTAAGCGGCGTATGGAAAATTTATTTGCGTAATGCTGTCGTGTCTGTAAATGGCTAATAGGTGATATTTATGTAGTATTATACTAGAGTGAACACTTAAATATTTAGTTTTCTATGGGAGGAGAACAGATTTGTAGTCGTTGTTATGGAAGATTATGCCTAAATCGGCTTGCACGTATATTAACATTGCAGTAATGACAATATGAGCTCCATATAATTTTCAACATTTTGCTGTGTCACATGTTTGCTTGTAGTTGCGATTTGGAGTGGCGTGAATGTAGCTGGAACGCGGCTGCTCACCATAAATCCTGAAATCGGCACGGATAAGGACGAAGAGAACTGGGGCGATATACATCGTCAGGTCGTCCAGAGGTATGTGTGCGCGGCTCGCGACATAGCCGTCGATTAGGAGCTTAATTTGTAATTTCCAACTCCATGACTGATGAGCATGATAATGAATCCAGCGTACTACTGCATGCACGGACAGATGGACATCTCCATTGATTATTAGCTCTATTTATTTTCCCGATCTCCAAGCCTTTGCATTACTTCTGAGTGCGATGTTCGACCAGCGCGTGCTAAGCGATATCGCTACCATTTTCTTACAGCGCATATCAGATCATCAAACTGAAGGGGTATACGTCGTGGGCGATTGGTGTGAGCGTGTCTACGCTATGCTCATCCGTATTGCGAGATACTAACAGCATCTACGCGGTCTCAGTCTTTGCTAAGGTAATTGAGCCATAAGCTTTAGTGGGAGCGAATGATGGCTGAAATATGTTTCCGTGTTCTGCGCGTACTGTTGTGAGTACATTTGATATGGCCAAGTGTTTTTCAACCTCTTATTGGCCCCTTTTACTTTAGACAAGTTATTTCGGAGCACACATGTCAGCATGCAAAATCAGATTAGATCTTGAAACCAGCTGTCTTTGCTCATCACTGGTGTTAACAGTGAGAAATCTGTTATTCGTACCACATTCTGATTGGTTTGGAGAGACTGGTTGAAAGAAGTACTGGTTGAGGTACAAGCTGATTGCCGTAATTCTGGCTCTAAGCAGTTCAGCTGTACATATCATCAGGAGTGAATAATAATAGAATTATTATTATTATTATTAGAAATATTATAATAATCTATTATTAATTCACTCCTGATATCGTGATATGCAGTACGCTTGTTGAACGCGTGTCGTGTGTGCCTTAATTACCCTAATTTCTGCTTTGCGCCGGTTTCACATTCACTGGCCATTTTTACCGTGACTTCACCCTTTTGGTTACCGCAGTGCCCATCGATGATCGAGTGAACCTTACTACTGAGATGCGCAAGATTTACGTCTAAGGACGGTACATTGCTGTTTGCAGGGTCTGCACGGCATAGATCAGGATGTTTGCCTGAGTCTGCCGTGTGTGCTCGGCGAAAACGGCATCACGGAGGTAATGCTGCAGCAGCTGCAGCCAGAGGAACTTGCTCAGCTGCAAAAGAGCGCCAAGGTGATGGGCGAGACGCTAACAAGCATCAAGTGGTAAGAAAGCGTGCGCGCGCGTCCTGTGTCGGAGGCATCGAATGCCTGTACTTTGGGAATGCTATACGGTCGTTGCAGCTCACAACATGCAAAACGCACACTGGTCTCTACCGATAGTACATACGCTAAGGTTGTTGCAGCTTGTGAGTGTGTAGAGAAACTAGAAGAAAAGCAACTTGTTGTCATATCTGATCATCACTACTAATAAGAAGACATGGGGAAAAAAACAAAAAGCCAACCATCAACGACTGCATTTTGTGTAGAACAGGGTTATTTCATTAGATAAAGTAGTTGGTAGAGTAGTAATTTAGTATGTAGTATTTTTGACAACTTTAGTGCGATAGTGATTGTAGTCTGTGATTCTCATATAGATTGAATTAAATTGGACATGGAAATTAGTCAGTAAACACTAGGTTAGCCCAGTAAAATATGTGTCTGGGGAACACGGTTAAATTATGTAGTATTTTTAACGAATTTATTATCATAGTAATTTATAATCTGTAGTTTTCATACAGACCGACCTAGATTTTACTTGCACACGATGAAATGTTCACCCATGGTGGTAGCCATAGGATTGTGTTTACACTGTACGGATAATCATAGTTTAAAGTTGATTTAAGCCGCTTAGTGTTGTTTCTTTATTGTGTTGCTTAATTTAGGAAAGGTATTCGGTAAATTTTGTGGAGCACTTCATTATTATGATTTTTGGCCGTTTACATTGGTTATTATGTGCTAGTTTATGACGAACATTGTTGGGCGCGGGGGGGGGGGCTGGAGTGATGTAGACACTTGTTTACATTGTCACTCACTTAGATCTCAATGTCCTTTAATATACAGCTATTATGAAATGATTTTCTTTTATTACTATACAATTATGCCAAATTTTTTTTAATGTATTTTTATGGGTAAATCCCATTTACTTAGATGGTTAGAATTAGCTTAAATCCCCTTTTGTTCCGACAGAAAAGTGTTAAACACTTCCATGCATAGCCTCGGCCAATAGGGAATGGCCATTTCAACAAGTTAGGTGAGAGGCAGGTGAAGAAAACATCACTGATAGTGTTGTAATCAATGTCAAGATCACGCGAGGGTCACATAATATAGTTGAAATTTCATGATCTGTGCACACAGGGAGATCGCAGTTTTGATGATGCAGTGGACTACGTTAAACGAGGACGATGTGTATTTTATTTTTACACAATATTTTACAATGATGGTCATAATGGTTGTTATGGGTATTAGTAAGTTGTTACCTAGATAACTACCGCTGATAGGGTCTATGTCCCCCTGGGTACGGTCCGGTATACCGGAACGTACCCTGGTACTATCTAATATGCCGGACCATACCTCGCCTACTCCACTAACGAGTCTAGGGAGTCGCCTACGCCTACTCCCTAATCCTAACCATATCAAGTGGTTACCAGGGTACGTTCCGGTATACCGGACCGTACCCAGGGTACGTTCCAGCAGTACCCTGGGGGACATAGACCCTATGAGCATAACTACCCGGTAATATAAACACATACACACTACCAAGTCAAAAAATAATAATTTTTATTTATGGTGTTAATAGTCAAAGTTAGTGTGGTAAAGTGTTGCAAGCATGGTTATCAGGCAGCTATTTTAAAATATAAAAAAGCAGCTTGTTTAAATTTGTCAGAATTTATTTGTTGCATTCTAGTCATAGCCTGTATATTAGAGCTGGGATATCTGTTGCTTACTGATAGTTTAATTTATGCCAGTTGTTTACTATGTATTTCACGAGTTATATAATCAACACTGTTATGTTGAAATAAAACTTGGCCTCCCTGAATGTTGTAGGTTTTGTAGTTCTGTATTTCTATTATTGTAGTTGCCATGTCTGATTCCACTTGACGTGATGCGGCCAAGATGCCTGGGCGCGCCGAGGATTGACACTGTGTCTTCCAATCACAGCCTACGCCGCACCAGTCTTTTATATTTTTAAAGGTGGGGACCCATTGGACCACCAAATTGCTGATCTCAGGAACTAGGGCATTCTGCTATGTTAGAACGGTTTCCTACGATAGAGTTTGCCACAAATACGAAAATAACACGCTGTTTAGCGCACTGCGCTACGTCTTTCTGTAGCATTTTCGCATCTCCGTAATCAGAATAAGCCCCGCCTTCCTCGTTGATGGACATGAATGGGGCTTTGTCCAGTAGAGATTGGACGCTCGCCCGAAACGACGCTCCTATGTGTGCATGCGCGCATGCTCTTTTGTTTTTCTCTCGTTTTCTTTTTGTTTGAATCTTGTTTTGCATGGCCGTAAGAAATAGTAGCCATGCTCTTTTGTTTTCTTTTTGTTTCGCCTTGTAACCTGACACATAACACAGTCTTACTAACTTACTACATTGCAAATTGTTTCAATCAAATGTTTCCATGAGTGACCGGGTTGGCCGCCATGTTTGTTTATTGCGACCGTTTTCAATGGGCGAGATGCGCAGATAACTACTGCGCATGTTGCGTATGCGCCCTTGCAAAACAAGAGGCGCATGCGCACTTAGGAGCGTCCAGTTTCGGGCGAGCAGCCAAACTCTACGGTACTATATACTTTTCGTAAATAATGAAATGCCCGGCCGATGCATTTCGCATCGAAGTGGAAAATTTTCGGCATTTTCACTCGCTGTCGCAAGTGAACGAGTGCGTCATTCATTGAACATTGAAGTTTTTCTTCAAATTAAATAATTCCGAAAATTCCTAACCGCGCTACTATTGTTTTAGCCAATGAACGTAGCTGTGTGTGTGACGTCTTGCTCGCGCGCCTTATGCTTGGCTTAGCGGGCCTCGAAATGGATATCGGAGGCAGGCACCTCGCAACACGCGTGTTTGTTTACATATAGCTTTGTGACATCAGGATGGGCGGTGTCGGGAGTTCTGCGATGATAACCTCGTAATTTCTCAGCATTTCTTAAGGTGCATGGAACATTTTACCATTTTGATTTTACCAATTTAGTGGTGTCAGTTAGTCACGGATATGTCACAGTAAGTACTAACCGCATATGTTTTACATACGTTCACCTATTTTGCACACAGGCAGTCGATCATTGTGGAAAATTGTGTAAATATTTATTTTTATTGAGAAGTTCCAAGTGCCTGTACTTTCAACAGTCTTGTACATCAATGCACGTGCGTTAAGAGCGACAAACAACACAATTTCATCTCTGTTATTGTTTACGCCGGAATGCGTGATTGATCAAGGAGTGGGTGCATGTAAGAGGGAGACATTTTCTTTGGGGTTCCGAAAAACACAATTCCACTTGATAATTTCATGGGCCATTTCAATTGGAAGCTCTGCATAATGGACCCCCAACAAGCCCTTTGACTGACTAGTCAAGATCTCTCTTATTTAGCCGCCGATAGTTCTTATTTAGAACAAAGTCTTCATTGTTATCTTTTAAAACTACAGACCATCCGCTGACCGCTGTGTAGACGTGCGCCGGGCCTCGAATTTGGCGCACATCTCCACTGCGGACAGCGCTTAATACTTAAACATTCCCGCGGTCGCGTGCGCATATCCCGTGGAACTGCGCGTCTCATCCGCGTGCAGCGTTCAGGATCAACATTCAACAGCAAAGCTGTGCCACGCAATCTTGTATCATGTCTCTCTGGATTAGCTTCCCCGGGACTTTGACAAAAATAGCTGATGCCATGTTAGCAATTATTGACTAGATTTTACCTCTGCTCGGCTACTTTGCTGCGCCATCACATTCCTACTGAGTAATTTATAATTCGCTTTTGCTGTCTCAAAAAACTGATGGCAATATATGCAACGTTACAATAGCTAGTGTTCTCTGACCCATTTCCATTTTTTCCCTTGGTGGTGCTGGGTTGGAGGGGGCAGGCTAAATTTAGGTAGGCGGAGTAAATAAGGAAAACCAAAATTTGAGTGACAGTGTAAGTCGTTTATAGTGGCCCATGCAGTGACTTTCGGAGAACTGAGATTATTATGAAACTACGACTTGCAATATATAATAATGCACACTGGACTTTTTGATATATGCATTTATACTATGAAATTGTAGTGAAAATTCTTAGCTACAAACAAATGTCAATTACTCTTAACATTTGAAGATACAGGACTAATTGAAACCTCCTAAATGTAGAAGGTTAATTGGCGTTTTTCTTTTCTTTTTGTATAATTTCTACAATTTCAAGTGATTTGGGATCGTCTAAACCTAACATTTTATATACTGCAATCCCTAGAGTGCATGCATGATTTCGTGATGGACCTGCCAAACCACTAGGAACCACCCTCATCACCACTTATGTGCAGTGTCTCTAGAAGCAAATTGTTCACATTGCGAATGGGAGACTAACGATTGATGGGCGTGAGGTCTATTTTTGTACAAGGACAAACGGAGATACATAGTGAAGCCTTCGTACGTCATTTGCTGGTCATTTTCAGACTCTCACGATTATAAACAACGAACAAAGTTGTCAGTGGGACATAACGGCTAATGTGCCTTGCACTGCAGGTGGCTGTATTTTATGAAACGGCGAAACGAACATTTCACGGATGCGTACGTACCTATATGTGATGTAGACTGTAGAGAATATGTAACGAATGTATGCAGCTTTCCTGAGGGAAATTATCGGCTTTATTGCAAAGCAACCACGGGAGCATTAACGGTCTGTGAGTAATAGAACTGAGGTGCAAAATGTTGAGCAATATACTCTGCTTAATCGGCTCTCTTGCTCAAAGAAACTAATTAACTGACATGACGTTTGTAGTTCAGTTTCAAAATCGCAACGTGATAGTATAGCGAGAACAACGTAAGGGCACACATCACTTCGTAAAAATATCGAAGCGTCGATATATCAACGTTTAGTAAAAAATACGTTGACGTAGATTAAATTTATCTTTAACACACTAGGTACTAAATTATATACCCAATAAAGATTTTACTGCATTACAGTCGGCTATTCAGTCAATGGATATCAACAGGAATTCAACAAAATCACTCGCGCCAATATAGCTACGTGAAATATTTTACCAATAAATACCATATATTGGTGGTAGTGATCACTTCACACCAACAATATATCGAAAAAGAACATTTACATGTTCTATATACCATATTGATACCAGATACACATCCATCAAAAGCTATGGACATGTCACTACGTTTTCTACAAGTAAACGGTGAACATCAATGTAGAAGCTAATTAACAGTTATTAATTTGGATCTCTTGGATAAAACAACTAACATTGAAGTAGCACCGGGTAATGCTGATATGAGTTAGCCTCGCCTCCACTTTCCCACGCTAACCGCTACAGTTCTGCCTACAAGACGAATGCACAACACTTAGTGAAAGCAATCAACTCATTGACACAATTAAATAATCTAAGTCAGTGGTTTTTAACCTGGGTTCGACCGAACCCCAGGGGTTCGGTGAGCCAGTCTCAGGGGTTTGGCGGAGGTCCTCCGAAACGCATTAAAATTTTGCTAGAATTTGCTAGAATTTTTATTTTTTGTTCATTCTTTGCACGCTTTCCAAATATAGTCTTGAATGTTGATGCAATATGTTTTATTTTTGGATTAATTAAAATTGATTAAAATTGTGAAGGAACATGATTGATCATGATACTTGCAATGCGTAAAGTTCCTAATCCCTCTAAGTCCCACTAAATTCAATGAACACATATCTCCGGGGGGGGGCACTCCCATTGATAACGGTAATGGGGTCGTGCCGCTGGACAGGGTATATTTTCCGAACATCATTATTGGCACAGGGTTATCTAGAAACCCAGCAAGCAAGCTGATATTGGCCCAATATCGGCAAAAACAATATTAGGCCAATATTGGGAAAACAATATTGGGCCAATATCACCAGGCCGATATTGAACCAATACCTCCCTATATTGACAGGAGGACAGGACATAACCGAAGTGTGCAATATTGCAACAGGGTATATTTTTTTGTACAGTATATTTGGACAGGGTGTATTTCAGGGGGCAAAGCGTTTTGCGACAGGGTCAGGTTTTCAAAGTGAGGCACCCCCCCCCACACACACACCAAGTTACGAGGCGAGTGCCCCCCGGGACATATCTCTGCACATAGGAAGGGGTCCAAGTGACACCATAGGACACCTAAGTACATATAGACCAGAGATTTTGAAACTATAACAGGCGACTGTATTCTGCATACAGCTGATAAAGGACATCATACTGTCACATACAATAATCTTAGGCTTACATCAAAGAGCCTATAATATTGATGATCAACAGGCGCGCGAATCTATTTTGAAATGTGGGGGGGACACCCGTAGCGAGCACGCGAAGGGGGGGAGGTCTGGGGGGCCCGTCCCTGTGCAGACCCCCTCGGAAACCCCCCCCCCCCTCGTACACGCCCCTGCACACACACAATTTTCGTAATCTTATCACAAACCAAATGCATGTGTGTGCTGGTGTCCACATGCAGTCATAAAATCAAGAAAACAAAAAGCAGAAAAACCAATAATTTGGTGTTGAGGCTGATCACAAAATATATTGGTCCGTTATTATTGTTGGTCCAGTCATATCATATATGCATATATCAATTTGCAATGAAAATTACCGATGCTCAGTTAAAACTAACCGATGCTCAGTTACTCAGTGTCCTCTTTGCGTGAATAAATATAGCTTGTGTTTCCAGCTTAATCCTTGAATCAGTGTCTAATGTGAGTGATATCTCCTAAACTTTCATAAACATACTTTCTCTTGATGATTTCTGCATAAGAATTATTTAATATAAGAAAAAAAACGTGTTAAAAAAACGGTACTAAATTTATCAAGACACATTTTTCTTAAGTTGTGCATGATCATTATTATGCTCTCAAATGCACTTGAATAAAATGAAAACTGGCAATAACAAAAAAAGGGAAAGAAGCCAATCGTTGACGCACTATCACACACAATAAAAAGGTTCTCACTTCACAAACACACACGCACGCACGCACGCACGCACGCACACACGCACACACACACACACACACACACACTTACACACAAAATCATGGTCATCCAAAATCGTGGGGGGGGGACATTTGATATGATGTCCCCCCTCTGAAAATTCGTGGGGGGACATGTCCCCCTGTCCCCCCTCCCTGGATTTGCACCCCTGATGATCAATATAGGCTCTTTGTTTACATCAATATAAAATCTCGTGGCAAATCTTAATCTCAATCCACTACTCACAAAATATTATATACACTGAATAGTAATGAATATATAAGGTATACGTTTCTTTGGCAAAAATGATACTTATAACACCGCAAAATTAGTCAAACTGTCTGGTAGGTAACACAAACTTGGGTTCACACAGGAGGGTGAGGCATTTGGTTGTTGGCATCTGTTTCATGCAAACTACCATTCTATTCCCATTTATAAGCAAGCTATATTTAGTGCGTATAGCATCAATAGCAATCGCGTTAGCACAATAAATACCATTCACTGCGCCCAGGATCATTAGACCAAGTGCCAATCACACCAATTATTTTGCAACTGCGTCACCAGTCCGCCAAAACGTGTTAACGCACCGGCACAGCGTGAGAGCAAGCGATCACAGCACCGGGAAAGTATTTCTCAACTGCAGCTTCGTGCCTCTAACTGACGTGCAATATTGCTTGATGCCCTCCCATGCAGACCGTCGTCTGCTTTTACATGAGTCGAGTCAACACCAAGCATACTTCCATGCAAGAACGCGCGTATCACAGCAATGGGAAATGCGCAGTACACTGTCATCATCTAACAGAATAACTTAGAATAAGGAATAAATAACCTTCACAATTTCTATACCGAACAGACGTGTACCCGCTGCGAATTCATGGCATAGGAAAAGGGAACCAATATATACAGAAATCATGCACATAATACATACTTGGTAGAAAATAGAGATAGATAAACAACAGTAATTCAACGTACAATTAACTCATGCAAGCCACCTAACATGATGGCAATACATTTTTCATTATAAGTTACTGAGTAATTGAGAAGAAAACACCAGTTTATGGATAGTTGAAAACTTTGAATTTTTGAATTTCATGTCGTAACATATTTATACTGATGTTTATCGCTATCACCACATAAACATGTCACATGTCTACATACACACTCCTTCGAGAACTCAAGCGTGTAGACAGAAACACTGAGGAAATCACAAGCAAATGGTGACACAGTTTTCCGTCAAAACAACAGGATTTGAGTGTAAGTATCAAGACCTTTCCACAGTGGTAGCGACAAAGTGGCGTTGGTTTCTCTGCAGAGATGGGCATATGGAAGTGAAGGCATCAACCTGCGTTCAGTAACGGGGATAGGGTCGTGTAAGCAGCAACAGCATAAATACGTACACTGCCTACATAATCTGATCGTTATCTCCTGAGAATTTGCATATTTTATATTGCACTTTAGTACTTTTAACGGGAAAATGTCTTAGCTTCCTTGTGCTCACATGACTTGTGAGAAATCACTGCAGACGACGTCACGAAATATTGAACTAAATGATATGATAGACTACAGAAAGATTCAACAATCACAACATTTTAAATTTGCAAATACAATAATACACGTTTTTCTATGACTATGCATAGAGCATTTCATTAATTGACAATGGAAATATAATTTACACCGATCTTCTACCATAAGGAAGGTGTGATGTACCTTATATCACTAAACCGTTTATTTGCTACATTCAGTAACAACCAAAATTACCCTACATGATTTTGAAAATACTATATATTACGAAATCCTTTCAACTTCACGTAGCATTATCTGATCAACTGCAAATATTGATATGATTGTTACGTGGACAGTAGTCACAGTACTATGTCACAGTATGTGCTTTACTATAACTCGGGCACTAAGCATATGACAGACGTGCCTCGGACACTACTTAGAATGATTTCCCACAGTCAGATGAGCAATGATTCACACGGTCAATATCTGTGGAGAAACTGAGCTGCCATCTAGTGTGCACATCTCAAACCAATCTGCGGATCTCCTCACCCTCAGTCGGCTCCTTAAACAAGAGCCCATATTTAGTATAGCGGTTAAAACATTTCAGCAACAGTGCACCATGACGCTTACGGCTTAGACACAATAATGTAACCCAGCAAGAGTAGGGTTACAACGCGAGCGTATTCTTTTCTTTGGAGGAGCCCCTGAGTGATTCACTCAGGGCAGTTTTATGGAGCGTTTTTCGAGACTAGCACTTCCAAACTGGGTTTATTCTAATCACGAACCTTTCTCCGCTATCCTGGGACCTACTATGTATCACAATACTCTGTATTAAACTAATATAACCTGTCACAAAATTTCGAAGCGACGAGCGGCGATATTTCGAGCGCCATTTCTGTTGACCTGTGATGCACACATTCCCAATGCGCATAGCATTCGGCTAACTTCGGCTCCTGTGTTGCCTGACATGCTGGCTCTGGTGACGTCATGACTGACAGCAGGCATCCCATGATACATTCGATCTTGGAGCCGAAGTTAGCCGAACGCTACGTCATTGGGTTAGGGTTGGGTTATATTAGTTTAATACAGAGTATTGTGATACATAGCAAGTCCCAGGATAGCGGAGAAAGGTTCGTGTTTAGAATAAACTCAGTTTGGAAGTTCTAGTCTCAAAAAAGCACCATAAAACCGCCCTGAGTGAATCACTCAGGGGCTCCTCCAAAGAAAAGAATAGGCTCGCGTTGTAACCCTACTCTTGTTGGGTTCCATTATTGTATCTACATGACGCTTAACAATTCATGATGGATAGTGATAAATTGACATACTCACCAATGACAGAAACAGTCACGTGACACGCTGAAACTGCTGCTAAATTAATTTCAATTAATTTCAATTAAGAAATTGAGCCGATATATACATAGCAGTAAACCAAGCACTCACCGCTTTCACCGGAGTGTTTTCGACGATGCTGTTGCTGATGTGGAGATCTCTTACAGAGACTTCACACCATGCTACACCTGCTCCAGCCCTGCATGTACTGATGCTGCAGACAAGCTCCCAGCTACAATAAATGCAAACAGAGAATGCCTAGCCCTCACACAAACCACACACACAAGGTGACTGAATGATGACATAACGAGAGAGTAACAACATGAGTGATAAGCATCATCCTAAAAATGGATGAAATTACCTTTTAAAATAACAATATGACAACTACTTTCTAAAATATCATCGTAGCCACGGTACCTTTAAATATCACGACTACCCTATGGTATGACTATGGCAAGCTGCCTTTCACAGTTAAATGACTGTACCTTTGTGATGATTTGAATAGGTTACCAAGAAAGGAATAATCAATACTTCTTATTCCCCAATTAAACGAATCATAGCATAGAATTAGGAGAAGAGGTGCCATCTACTTGGACCTAATGTATCACGATGCAGTGGTAGGCTACGACAAAAGTGGAGAAAGGATTTTTTTAAATGTCTCGTGACACTATTGTCACGCTCACCTGTCGTTGACTGCATCGTACGCCTCGACGCTGTCTAGGTACTGTGACCCGTCGTGACCTCCGACGGCGTAGATGCGACCCGAGAGCGTCGCGACCCCCACGCCGCCTCGACAGCTCGACATCGACGCGATATCGCTCCACGAGTTCGTCTCGGTGTCGTACCGCTCCACGGACGCCAGCGGCGCGTTGTCGTCGAAGCCGCCTGCAAGCGCAGGAGATACGAGTGATGCGTGAACCGACTCTTACAGCGGCGCCATCCTATCATCATGTCAGCCAGCATTTATCTATCATTACACGTATCTGCTAATCCGTCAATGCGTCCATCTACTAATCTGTCAATGCGCCCACCTACTAATCCGTAAATTCACTCATATACTAATCCGTCAATGCGCCCATCTACTAATCTGTAAATTCTCTCATCTACTAATTCGTCAACCTGTCCATGCGTGTCCCGCCGTACAGTCCAACAAAAGCAATGACATTCCTCTGTCCTTTCGTCTAGCTAGGCTACCACAGGTAAGCTGACCGGCTGGACGTGACGTGCACACGGCTACCACAGGTAAGCTGACCGGCTGGACGTGACGCGCATACGGCTACCACAGGTGAGCTGACCGGCTGGTCGTGACGTGCATACGGCTACCACAGGTAAGCTGACCGGCTGGACGTGACGCGCATACGGCTACCACAGGTAAGCTGACCGGCTGGACGTGACGCGCAGGCAGGACAACAACCAACAGGCACGTAGAGATGCCTGCTGAGCGTACCTAGCACGTAGAGATGCCTGCTGAGCACGGTCACTCCGGCACCCGCGCGGCGCGTGTGCATCGGCGCGATCTCCGTCCACTTGTTCAGGTGCGGGTCGTAGCACTCGCAGGAGCTCAGCGACGACATGCCGTCATTTCCACCGCACGCATACAGCAGACCCTGCAAGCGAGCGGGGGAGCGTAAGCGCTAATGATGGCAACGTACGGCGCTACGGTGATCGAACACGTTATAGGTATTAACAATACGTGTTAACAAAAGAAAATGCAACTCTCGAGAGGCATTTGTGCGTGCGTGCGTGCATGCGTGCGTGCGTGTACGTTCGTGTATGTACGTGTAAGTACGTGCGTGCGTGCATGCATGTGTGCGTGCATTTCTGCATGCGTGTACGTTGTGTTTTTGCATTACTTACTTCTGCCGTACACCAGTTAATGATAATACTACACCACGTTATACATACACGATTACATCAGGCCACTGCCACACTACCATTCAGCCGTCTCACCTTGAGGGCAGCGACGCCGACGCCCCCTCGCGGGTAGTTCATCGAAGCCACGAAGCTCCACTGATCGGACTTGAAATCGTATCGCTCGACGGCGTTGTAGCACTGGTTGTCGTCCAACCCACCCACGGCGTAGATCGGGCCGCCCAGGCAGCCGACCGCGATGCCTCGTCTGCAATACGGTGAAAGTTCGCTCTGTGCAACGACTTCATTTACCAACTACGACAACGCTGGCATAGGCATAGGTATCCACTATTCCCAATAATGATAAATAAAAATCAAACTGAATCTCCTTTTGGTCCTAAACAAAGTTGGCTGTGTAATTTCTCAGAATTTCTCAAGGTGCATGGAACATTTTACCAATTTAGTGGTGTCAGTTAGTCATGGATATGTCGCAGTATGTACTAACAATAGATATATCACATACGTTCACCCATTTTACACACAGGCGGTCACTCATTGTGAAAAATAGAAAAACGATGATTTCTCCGTTTCGATTTCTGACATAGTAGCCGATGTATAAATGGATATTTCTCTGTGATTACAACTCGGATTAATTTAATTTTACACTCGTTTTAATGGTAACATATTTCTGTAAAGAAGTGCGTCAGGCATTGTTATTAAGTGCCGTATTTTATTAGTTATGCCTCTTTATTCGCTAAAATTTTCAATTCTAGTCACAACCACGTCTGTGGCATTTCCAAAAAAAATCCCAGAATAGTATCAAGATAGTATCTATAAGATAGTAATCGCCATTGAAGCATAAATGTAAACACAAGAAGAATAGTTTAGTACTCCTAATTGTGTAAATAGTAGAAGTCCGTATTGGAAGTATTTTCTCATTCTCTTATTTCACTTATTAGTCCGTTCCAGTCAGGGTGACCCATACACTAACATCGGCATTAAGGATACTCTCCACCTTTTGCACGGGTATTGCTCTAGTGAAGATTAAACGTTTATTGGCAAATGAATCAAATCAATCACTTGTTTTATTTATAGAGGAGATATATCTCCATGCTCAAGCCAAAAAATTTCATGAAATTTCCAGCACCTAATTATGTTACCACACAAATTTTGAATTTTTATGTAAAAATGGTATTTTGGATATTTCTCAACTACCAGAAAGAGTGAGGATACAAAATTTTTGCCACATGTTAAGCACAATATGGACCAAAATAGTACGTCTGGATTTTTCTTTAATTTTCATATTTACCGAGAAAACTGGAAAAAAAACTGCTTAAAAATCAAGTTGTGTGTTAGAATTGAAAATTTTAGCGAATAAAGAGGCATAACTAATAAAATACGGCACTTAATAACAATGCCTGACGCACTTCTTTACAGAAATATGTTACCATTAAAACGAGTGTAAAATTAAATTAATCCGAGTTGTAATCACAGAGAAATATCCATTTATACATCGGCTACTATGTGAGAAATCGAAACGGAGAAATCATCGTTTTTCTATTTTTCACAATGAGTGACCGCCTGTGTGCAAAATGGGTGAACGTATGTGAAATATCTACTGTTAGTAATTACTGCGACATATCCATGACTAACTGACACCACTAAATTGGTAAAATGTTCCATGCACCTTGAGAAATTCTGAGAAATTACGAGGTTACCATCGCAGAACGCGTGAACTCCACTCATCCTGACGTCACAAAGCTAATATGTCAACAAACGCGCGCCTACTACAGTAAGGTGTGTTGCGAGGTCTTAGAACTATTTTGGGATACTTGTTGGATCACTAGCAGATGTACATGAATGTACATGAATACATGTAATGACAGCTGTAGCAGGGTTGATGCTGAATGATACTGGCTTAGTGAATATCATGATTGTATCATGTCTCTGATGTCATAATGAAGGCAGCAGCTGCTTACTACACATGTACGCGGGCAAACAAAACGCTCTGACAGTTCACATGTACCGTTATATGGAGAAATGAGCATGTACACAGGTGGCACATAGTGTTAGCCATCGAATAAAGTTGAAAATGAAAAATCGGTAAAAAATTTTCCTAAAACCTTGAGACTATCCTTAAGGTGCCACAGTAAATACAACCATTGCGAGGGTACATCCACTTTATTGGCATGAACCCTGTGGCGATTGATAATGGTGTAAGAATGCAGTACCTTTGACTAGCCATGCATGCGAGAGCCTTCCACAATCCAGTCTGTGGGTCGAACACCTCACCACTACTCAGATGCTGTTTGCCATCATGGCCTCCTATTGCATAGAGCTTGCCTGCACGACACCCGCGCAAAGCAAGAGAGAGAGTTAGCACATCACTTCGAATCTTGGATTTCAAATTTTAATCCTGAATTATTGATTTTCGCTACTTTTTACCTGTGATATATATTTCATTTATGACATTGTCTAACAGTATACACAAAAAATATCACTATGGAGAAGCTTGGAAAAATAAATACTAGGAATTACTCGTTTAACACATTTCGTCATCTTTTTGTTTATACATAGACACTAAAATGGTTATATGCTCCAAGAATCTCTGAAAAGATCGCAGATATAGCAATCATATTGTTACATGTAATTTGAATTGGAAATATTTAACATATTTTTAATAATTTTGCTAATATATAAATCTGAGAATCTCCATCATTTCTAATGGAGAGGTAATGCATGAATCTAATGCATACAATGTGAGTAAAATTGTACATTATTTTAAGTTATTTCCTCAACCACAACAAAAGAACAACGCAGTTCCCATGTTCGCTCTTACCGCCGGCTGCGACGACCCCAACGTGGCGCCGCCTGGTGCTCATGTCAGTGACCCTGACCCACGTATCGCAGCGCAGGTTGTAGCACTCGATGCTGCGGAATGGGTCACCAGACGCGCCCCGCCCGCCGACACAGAAGATCACTCCTGCCATGCACGAAGCAGAGTGTTGGATAACGATGAGTTCCCGTGATGCAGGGTCATTAGGTAACATCGTAAGGTTAACGACGATGCAAGTGAAAACAATGATGAAGGCTAAATGAATAAATGATAATAATGCACGCGCACGTTCATCAAATTTATCAGACCTGCGTCGAACAGAAAATGACTATAGCTGTCTCGCTATTAGAACTATTATCTTGGATTGCCATTTACGACTGCACTGAACGTGCGCATGATTAATTAGCTCCTCCTGATTACCTGCGTAACTTTTCCTGGGTTTCGTTCTGTCGCCTAGATGTGGTCTGGACGTGGTAACGACACCTGACTGCACCAACTGATAATTCTTGGCTTCGTCGAGGTAGTCCCGGCAGGTGTGATCCTTCTTGAGCAATTCCTCCAATTCTACCTGTAATCCAAGCCAGTAGATCTCAATGTACACAACGCAGATTATATTGGCTTGTTTCAATACAAATAGTTTTAACTTTTAATGTAATAGCATCTATATTACATCACGTATAATGCTACTATTATACAATTATAAAACACATACTATCATGGTATGTAGGCTATGGTTTGGCTGTAAACTGCATGCTAATCTCTCACTACTACCAGCGTACAGATCTGGTACTGATTACATACATCTATATGGGTTTCTTATGAATACTATCAGGAGTATGCGAATGATGATGATGGTGATGTACTGACTCATGTATTCATGATATTATTTTTACAAGTATTACTATCGATAAACGTATCATTACCACATGCATGATATAGTGAGCTGGAAGGAGAGGCAGCCGAACTCTGCCCAAAACGATGGATAGGAATTTCTTGCGCACGCTTGGATCGTGGCCCATCCACCGCATCACTGCTTCATAGACTTCTATCTCTGCAACACACAAAGGAACACGTTCAAATCCACCAGATTACTGCCTCGTGTCTCTAACAAGCCTCGTGTCTCTTCTCTCCTCCCCTCCCCTACTCTCCTCCCCTCCTCTCTCCCCTCCCACCACCTACCCGAGGGCGAGTTGAGATCATCCGAGCGTATGATATGTACGAGGTGCATCGCCGACATGTTGAGAAACTCCTCCCCTCCTCTCCTCCCCTCCCACCACCTACCCCCCGGCGAGTTGAGCTCATCCCAGCGTCTGATATGTACGAGGT